ATGAAATCCCTTGGCATATATTCGTTAATGGATGGGTCTGGTAACGAGAAACATTATTGGTAGGCGCATTACAGACAGAACGCGTCACAGACTATAATCGCGAAAAAGGAGACGCAACAAGGAGCTTTCCCTTCAAACGTATCGGGGCAACAGGAGGGGGGCGAAAAGAGGAACACGAAAAAAAAAACGAACGTATTTCCATGCGAGATCGTAATTGTCCGCGATGATAATAATGAGAAGGATCGACCAAAGAGGCAAAAGTATCGTCACGACTCGTTATGTGGAATTTGTTCGTGAGACAGAGAGAAAGAAGGAACGAAGAATGCTGCACAAAGGAGGAAATTTGTAGGAAAATGCGCTTTAATTCGAGTGCGCGAATTTTGTTTATTCCGGGGACTCGAGACTTTCTTTAGGCGAGCTTCTTCCTTATAGATCCTGGGACATTTGCTTCTGCTTTCCGTTTTAACGATCGATCTCTTTTCCATTCGTACGACCTCGAATCGAAGTTGTTTTAAAATTAAAAATTTGATTCGATACAGGCAACTTGTCAGGAAAGCCTAAACATTCTTAATGACAGAGACAAGTATTATATTGAAGATAATTTTAAATTAATTTTTTAGACCCCCAATGCAAGGTTCCATCGAGTTACTCGAGTTTGTGCTGTTCGTACGCGTTCTTTATCGGTCCAATAATTAATTAACCGACTCGAGATGGCACGGTTCGAAAAAATGGCGAAGAAGTCACGGTTCGAAGCGGAACGTTGCCTCGAGACGAGCCGTACCGTGCCGCTATAAAAGTGCAAGGAGGAATGTCTTCGTCAGGAATACCGGCGTTCCTCTAATTTCGTTGCACGGTCGGACGGTTCGAAATGAAATTTCGCACGCAACCGAAGCGGATGACGAGCATCCTTGCAAAATACGGGGAACATTTTTACGACGGAACAAAGTTTTCCCCCGGGCGAGAGCAGGGAGAAGTCTTTACGCTCTGTATTTACGGGCCAGGCCGTCGTAAATCCGCGGCGCCAACGCGCTGGCACCCCGAGCATCCGGCCTGATTAACCCTTTGGAAAGTGAGAGACATGTAATTACTCCGAGTCTTATCCCAGATAACACGATCGTTAATTCGAACCTGTGCCTCCGGGGAGCGAACTTTTAACCTTTCGTCATACGTGATCCTTCTCTTTCGCGTTGGGATCCATTCCTTCGATTCGAACGCGGTTCGTGTACTGTGCGTTCGCGAGAAGTTGGTTAGTTGGGAACCAATCAGATTCACGTTCCTTTCACTGGTCAACTTCTCGTAGAGGCACAGTACATCGTTCGTAAGCACAGTACCTGTGACCGTAGTTTCACTCAATATTAACTCTTCGAATTTATACAGTGATTCTAGAAATCTTGTAGCGTATTTCTATATTTGGGAACAAATTTATTTATCGTATTCACCTGTAAAAATTAGTAGAAAGTTGTATCGTTTGAGATTAGAAGTAAAATTTTGTAAGCACAGTCCTGTGACCGTAGTTTCACTCAATATTAACTCTTCGAATTCATACAGTGAATCTAGAAATCTTGTAGCGTATTTTTATATTTGGGAACAAATTTATTTATCGTATTCACCTGTAAGAATTAGTAGAAAGCTGTATCGTTTGAGATTAGAAGTAAAATTTTGTAAGCACAGTCCTGTGACCGTAGTTTCACGCGATATTAACTCTTCGTATTTATACAGTGAAACTAGGAATTCTTTAGAGTATTTTCCATCTACTTTATGACGTAACACTTGTATGAATTAGTAGAAAGCTATAGTCTAAATCTAAAATTCCCCATGGGATCGACGATTTCAGTTATGCGGAGTGATTTTAATAAACGGTCGAATCGCCATCATCGTCCACGACCGCCCAAGTATCCACAGAGGCGTACTTTTTCCTAAGGCTGCGTAATCCCGAGATAAAGATCGCCAAATTAAGCTAATATGGCGACATAATTGCCCGCCGGTACACGGTTCCCTTTCACGAAGTTTCTCCTTCATGACAGCCGAAACGTTTCCAATGGGATTGGCGTCGGGGGATCGTGAAGGCCAATCGAGTCGCTCGACGCAATTTTCCTCTTTCCATCGCGTGAATAATTGATTACGATCACGTATCCGGTTCAAAAAAGAAATTTAGTTCATATTTGTAGCCGCAACAAAATTACATATTCTTTCAAGATGAAAATTAAACTTGGAATTAAAAAACCAAAAGACAGCTACAAAGATGTTTCCAAGTTCGAAGTCACGGATGTTCCAGTGATACTTTTGTTTAACCCCTTGACGTATGATTTATACTATTTGATTTGTTCGTGCAAGGAATGGCCACGAGAAAGAACAGATTTCTTTTACGAATACCTGATGAATGTAAAAATGTGTCGATTTTAATATGTAAGATTCGACGACGGGTGAGTAGCCCCCATGATTGTGAAAATTGACATCAAGAATTTGTATCAGACTCGGTCATTGTACGAATATAGAATAATACAAGAGTCAGGAAGAGTCTTTAATTTCGTTTGGTCAGTAAGGTTTAGGGCAAAGTAAACGGTGTAAGTTTGGATCCATTAGGGACCCCGCCAAACAGCGGCAGTCAAACGCGTCGGGCAATCATTTTCAAATCACGCGACGTCAATTTGCGATGATCGGTGCATGGCTGAACACCTCGTTACCGAGCTGTACTTGCATTGTTTAAGTAGGAGACGTGGTTATACAGTTGGCAGCCGGCGACGAACGTCGATACCTAGCAGGGGGCCTGCTTTGTACAGGTAATACAGGCGTCAGGTGAGCCGAACACGTACGGTGCATCTCGCCCCTTGGCATTTCCAGCGATTAATCGAGGATACATCTAACCGTAGTAGTCTGAGGAAGGGGCTTTGCTCACGATCCAGTCTATCCGCTCACGGAAATCATGCAGCTGGAAGCGGATCGGTTTTGGGAAAGGGACGATCATCAGGCTCCTCCTTGTCTTCGCCAACCATCGCCGCAATCGTCCTGTATCCTGTTATATCGGTTAATGAGATTTCCGCGTGAAACTACAGTTCTGTCCGTCTCCCTTCACCTGAATAACCATTCCTATTGGAAATCGACGAACCGATGTACAACTTTTCTAACTTCTCCAACGTTACAAAAATTCTCGTTCGCATAAAAGAGGAATTTTGTTTAAACAGTTAATCGCTCGTCTCGTTGCTGAAACACGGAGAAAATATCCGGCGGCTTGTTCGCGAGGAAATACGAATTACGAACCGAACACGACCACGATCGAGGACGTTAACTTATTTTTGTTCCCTGCACTGGATTGCCTTCGCGAAATTCTTTCGACAACGGTGGTCATGGGAACCTTGGAAGTCGAGTGGAATTTGTTTAAGAAGGAAAAATCGTTTGCAATTGCCTTGCACAGAATACATAGAACATTGGTCCAAGAAAAGAGGAAGATTTTCGGGAATATACTGATTTTCAAACACTCTCGCGAGGAAAGAGGAGCGTAAGCGTATTTCAGATTGAGGAATGGGTACCCCTGTCAATGTTGTTCTGAAAAATTGCCTCCTGCGTCTTGGCGACAATGATCTGCGGTTAATGGGGTTGTGCTCCAGATGCTTGTTCACGCGGGCAGGAAACTTAATCGAACAATTTTTCATACTCATGTCAGTTGACTAGTTCCTACGACCTTGAATCATGGCTGGCAAACTGATATAAAAAGTACATTCTTCAAAACGGTTTATAAAATAAACTATGCTTCTATGCTTCTACTATCTTATATATTGTTTTCAGTTTATTTCACGAGCGATATTTACCGTGTATCTTACATTAATTATTACCGGTTTAATGATCTTGAGCCATTAAAGCCTGCAGGAATATTAAGATATATTAAGCAGCGTATGAAAGGTTACGCAAGAACAACAAGTCTGCAGTCTTCCGGCTTTATAAAAAAATGTTCGAATATCCGTCGGCGTGAATGCAATGTAAACGGGCGAATATTCCCAGGAAGGCAACTCTTCCTTAATGTGCGAGAGCCTCAAAATGTAATAACGGAGATCCTGCGTTTATTAATGAATTCCGTATTCAAATAACGTTTCAGTCCAGTTCCTGGGGATGTATAATATTTGCATGCTAAAGGGGGGCAAATTATAGAATTGTAAATAAAGGAATATATCAAATACACACAGATAACGATGAAAGTGAGTCGAGGAATGGAGGAAGTGAATTACAGGTCTTAAATATGATGACATTCTAGGTATTGTTCCTAATAATATATTAAACACGATACATTCGATACACTTCATTTTGAAATGAGATTTCTCAAAAGTTCTAAGGGCCAGTTATATTTTATCCATAAAATTCTAAGAAGTGTACTTAAGTGGACACCACTGTATTCTATCAACCCTTAAGTGAACTATTGGGGCTCCACAAATTTAAACTAATAATTATTTAATGCATGTCAATGTAATTATTTGAAAACTTAAGTAATCTTCCATTTAAGGGAAAGTTGATTTCCAGTTACCAATTTGGTAAAGATCAACACGGAAGTAAAATAGTTTAGTTGAGATCGAGAGTTCACTCAACCCTTAAATGCATGATTTTTTTAATTGAAAATGATATTGAATCTTCGTTCGAATGGGCCAAGGTGATATGGCATACATCCGAAAGTAAAACTTTCACAACGATTAACACTTTGACTGTCACCCATATTTGGGTGACAGAACTTTAAACAGTGGAACTAAAACAACGAATTCTCAAGTTGAAATGTTAAAAAAAATCAATTTTAATAGGCTTCGTAAATTTGAATGAGGTTAGAAAAGTAACTATTACAGTTGCCTAAAATCAGAGTTTCATTCTCGTAAACAAGTTTAGGATTTTAGACTGGCAGTCAACGTGTTAACACTTTGATGAGGAGTTAAAGACAGCGTTTCATTTTTGAGGCACTATGCATTCAAGGGTTGAGGGTTAAAATTCTATAAATTTTTTTCTGACAATTTTCTCTGTTTCAGGTCGACCAGGAACGGACTACCCGGTGCTGGGCAAGGTGCCTTACACGAACTTCTACTGCGACGACCAGCCCTACCCGGGTTTCTTCGCGGACGTGGAGACGAGATGCCAGGCCTGGCACTATTGCGACATAGACGGTCGACAGGCGACGTTTCTATGCCCGAATGGGACGCAGTTCAGCCAAGCGGTGTTCGTCTGCGACTGGTGGTTCAACGTGAGGTGCGAGCTCAGTCCTAAGCTGTACGCCATTAATAGCAGGCTTTACGGACGACCCACCGAGAGCCCGACGAGACCGCACCGTCTGATCACCAAGGAGCTGCTGGAGAATATTTTCGTGAGGCGAAAATGAGCGGATACGGCCGCGTTGATACTCTTCCTAAGCAATCGAGCGGTCAGCTCGATCTCGTAGAAACTAGATCACGACGCAGGCTGGACAAGCGTTTCCTGTCGACGGTAGCCGGGCGTACCCGGGTAGCCGCACGGAACGACCGAAGAGGGGGAGGCAAACATTCGCTGCCCGGAGAAAGAAATTTATCCGGTTAATAAAAGGAGAGCGGAGACCCGTAACCGAACGACTGCGGCTAGATGGGTGATCGATACGATAGCGACGTTCCGTAGGAAATATTAGCGTCCCCGGGAAATTAATCACGCGAGACTGGTCTCGAAGGGTCGTTCGAGCACCGATGAATACTCGAACCGGAGGAGAAATAAATGTCCACCGTTAAAGAATCGAAGAGGAAGAGAGAGAAGCACCTGCCGTACTGGTAGAAAGGTGGGCATTCGTCCAGGATCTCCCGAACCCTTAGGGGTGATTTGACGTGTAAAGCGTGGCTACACGTTCGGGAACCCTCTGTGCGGTCTTTGATCGTCGATGAGACCGCGGAGACGTCACTGGTCTTCTCCACCCTTCTCTGGTCGTATCTCCGGCTCGTGAAAACGAAGAGTCGATCTTTACGGGGGGCCGGAAGTGGTCGAGTACCTGTGCCCGGAGACTCCCGGGGTCCGTCATCGATCGTGAACGCGAATGTCATTATAAATACGCGGGGTGCTTCGATTGGAGACTTCGGTGGAACGTTCACTTAATTTAGAATTACGGTTTACAGTCGCATGGAGCACTGACTTTTATCACGAATTTAAGCGAAATCTCAGTGGAGTGTGTGTTTCTGCGACGTTTGGTCTCGTGTAATAATCCTATCTGTATTCCATTTAACATTGGTAACTAGGAGAAAGTATGTATATAGAATAAATTCAAACATACCTTGATATCCGTACCGAGTATACTCCGTGAAACAAAAAGGAAGCCTCCTGTTTCGATCGCGAAAGGCGACGATAAAAATGGCTCGTTCGGCGCAGGTGGAAATTCTGTAAGCGGTGCGTTATTTTGGATATTGTTATCCATTACTGGCGGATCGAAATGACTTCGTTTTGGGTTTCGTTATTTGCTTAAACAACGAGCACCGTTTGCGATGCATCGTGCATGCAGCCATTTGATCAGCTTATGTCTTACAATCGCGCGGGTATTGCGTAATTGCTTCGCGCTAGCCCGAAGGCCTGACGCTTCAGTTGGCAACGAACCAATTGACGATCGGTCATACGTGCAACAATTGCGATTACACGTGGAACGATCGCGATTATACGCGCAATAATGGAACCGGGGAAATTGTTGTGCCGTGGCAAACAACTCGACCCACCCGCGCACTCTCGCGAAAAGTGCATTATAAACGGGGAATAAGGGAAAATCGGCCGAACGCTCGACAAACATGTTTCGATACACGTTATTCTAATCACCGACAATCGCCACGTACGCGTTGCTTAATTTCAAAGACGCTGCTGCGGTGAACAACGTGTTTATTTTTATAAAATAACCTAACAGTTGTCATGAAGAGATCGTTGGCCACAGTACTGGATGGATTAAAAGATTGTATCAGACTTTGCAAACATATGATCTCAGAGTCACGCGGGATCACGAAGATAGGAAATTATGATCGATCATACGCTACCGGTGGAACGTTCAATGGCGTCATGGACGTTCTAGCCAAAATATAGCAAAATCGTGGTTCTTATTAAAAGCTTTGATATGTATTATATAGTATAACACGCTTCTAATTTCAAAGAGGAAAATTTTGACTACAGTTTCTGGCCCTATATACAGTAAAGTAACAGAAAAAAACACAAAAAGATCAAAGACATGATTGGTGTGTCGTAAAAAAAATAAAAATATATTGAAATTTATTTTTTCTTCTTTTCTAGGTTATTTTCTCTATCCACCAAATAAAAATCAATAATGTATTAAAATAGCTTTAGAAAAATATTCTTTCTAAAATATGGAACGTTTTAACAAACGAACTGTCAATAATTGGTGCACGATAGGAACTCATTCTAAACGCACAAAAATTATAACGGGAGAGAGAGTAAAACTCGAACAACGTGTTCGCGCCAGCACGGCCAAAAGTCAATGCTTTCAAGAATCGATATCCGCTAATACAATTGTGCACGCACGGCGAACCGAACGAAATACGACAACGACAGGTTTGTCGGCAATTAGTAATGGCGTGTCGTTCGATCGCGATATATTGTGTGCTCGGGCTGTCGCTTGAAAGCGATCGTCGCGTGACCAATTTCTCATTTCATCGATACTTCCGTCAGAATGCTGTTACTTGTTATGCACCGTGGTTCACTATAGTATTTACAGTCTAAGAATAACCGTGCAACAACATTTCACGCCCAAAATTTACTCGAACGCTACAGAAACACGCTACGAAGTCTTTAAAATAAGAATCCTCACAGTACAGTTTTCTTTTCAATAAATTCGATCGAAAGCAACGATCTATTTTATTACGAATAATCTTACGTTTCCACCTCATTTCTAGCTCTCCTCCAAGTAGTTTATGGAAGATTTTCTTGGCAATATCTTAACTTAACATTTAATTATTAAGGATAAAACGTCACATGAATTGATAAAGTACACTGGGAGATTTATTTTATTAATTCACGCGACGTTTAATCTGTAACAATGTCTCATAATTTCTCTTGACAAGTATTAATTAATCTCGGGTAATTTTGCACGTCGATCATCCGTCGAAATAATTATTTCATCTTACATTGTAACTAAGGTATTGAGAAGGAACTCCGAACTCATTTTTTTCTGGTGAAAATTCGGAATCCAGACCGAGACGTAGGGTTATTTTTAATAAAGTGGATAGTCGATAAACGTTCGCGAAAATGGTGGAGACAGTTTCTCGAAAATTGCGAGGACGAGCCAGCAAATTGAAGTTGAAATTCGAATTTAATAGAACGGACAGTGGACCCTACGCGAAATCAAAGTAAATTAGTTTCAAAAGTTTCCGATGGAATGTATCATTAATAAGAGACGCCGCCCTTTAGTAGCCATTCGCTAATGAGGAACGGTTAACGAAGAAAATTGCTGAATAATTAAAAGTTGCTTCGGTTGAAAATTATGCGATTCTCAGTTGGCACGCGCTAGTCCGAAAAACTGTCGTTCCGTTAAGTTCGCGAAAATCTTTCTCGTCCCGCCTTTCGGGTCGCAAAGAAACGAGACTGACAGGTGAATCGGTCCAGAGAACGATGGTGGTGGGGAAATAGAAATAAAAAACGAAGATGGTAACGAACGAATAAATAAAGTTCCAGCTTACGCTTTAATTGTCCTTAATTCAAAGGACGCGCTAACTAGAGGCCGCAAAATTAATAATAAAATATTCCGCCGGTATATAATTCAGTCATGCGCGTGATGCAATTAGTTCTAAAACTCTTTCGGCCTGAGTGCTGTAATTATCCGCCGGCGTTCATAAAATTCTGATTAACTTCGCGACCGGTTGTATCAAAAAATAGTATCGAAGTAACTTTCCTGGTATAAAGTGTCGTTAACCGTGGAATAAAAAATCCAATACACGGTGTGTTTCATTTAAATGTAATTGACGTAGGAAAGAGTTCTGGCGCTCTCCGTTTAACGCGGCTCGAAGTGAAATGAAATATGTTCCCGGCCCGTTCCGTGGCTCGAGAAAAACTCGAATTCGCCGAATTCCTACGAACCACAAAATTGTTTCCGATCGTTCGGGTGTCTGTACAAAATAAAACATAGATCTTCGACGCGTAAGTTCATTTTGTATTTAACATACGTTTGAGAATAATCATATTCTCGATTGTGTTATTAGATATGATAGTGTAAAACGGGACGTGGAAGGTACTATTTACGATTAGACTTTCCATGCATTTAAATCGGGCATATAGTATAAACGAGAACCAAATTATTCCACGAGATGCAATTTCCAGCTCATTTGACAATTCGAATGGCGGAAAATCCAGCGGAACCCCGCACAATCGCGAGCATAGTTCCCCATCGGTTTTTAACAATTTTCCTATTATTTTGACGGCGTTTATCGGCCGGCAGCTTTTTGTTGCTAATTAAATGCACCGACGCGCTCCGCTCGTGGGAACAATGCTCATTTGAATCGCGAAAATTCAAACGAGTAGATATTAATCACCCATTAGGACGAAACTCTGGCTGGATATATAAGTGGAGGAATAAATTTCATTCTTTCCTTTTTATTATGATCATTATTGATCGAATTCTGGGTAGCTTCCAAACCTAAGAAATATACGATTTTTTATAAAGCAGTGCAATAAAAATTCGAACAAAAACGTAAATTTACATGGCATTTTATCTCGACAAATTACATATTGGAGATGGGAATGTTACAGAAGACGAAGAAAATATCACAACTTGATACAGTCAAGGTTTTCGAAAATTTGTCACCTTCCACTTCCTATTATAAATTTATCTAGAATTTCCGGATTACCATCGTCCATTATGGAATTACTCTACCATTGTCCCCGGTACGTTTACACCGGGATTACGATCGTATCTCACAGGATTCCCATCAGGATTACAATACTATACCACGTATTTAAGTTGTGGGGGAAGTTTGAAAGAGATCTAGACACTTCGAGTATAATTCTTATTTCTCCAAATTTTAATCTCGATGCAATGCTAAATAGTCTTCTCCAAATTGTAACTAAGAACGAATCACAGCTACAGCCATCAGGATTACAATACTATACCACGTATTTAAGTTGTGGGGGAAGTTCGAAAGAGATCTAGACACTTCGAGTATAATTTTTGTTTCTCCAAATTTTAATCTCCATGTAATATTAAATATTGTTCTCCAAATTGAAACTAAGAAAAGGGTGAATCACAGCTACAGTTATTAGGTTTACAATACTATATCAAGTATTTAAATGGCGGGGGAAGTTTGAAAGAGTTTAAGACACTTCGAGTATAATTCTTATTTCTCCAAATTTTAATCTCGATGCAATGCTAAATAGTCTTCTCCAAATTGTAACTAAGAACGAATCACAACTACAGCCATCAGGATTACAATACTATACCACGTATTTAAGTTGTGGGGGAAGTTCGAAAGA